TTGTTATGACAACACTAGATACACACATTGAATAACCCAGACTTAAGTCTACGTTAGATGACCTGGAAGGACATCATGCTTGGTAAAGTAGAGGGGCAGCAGGAGAGAGGAAGACCCTCAAGGAGCTGGACAGACACAATGGCTGTGACAATGGGCTCAGGACTAGGAACCATTGTGCGGATGGCGCAGGACCGGCCAGGCAGTGTTTCCTTCTGTTGTGCATAAGGTCACTATGGGTCAGAGCCAGCAGGATGGCGCCTCACAGTGACAACAAAAGTCTCCATGAGATCCCCAGGAAGATGAGAGGCTCTTCTTGGTGGAGGAATATAAAACATCCTTTGTTCCATGAGAGCATATCAAAGACATTCATTTACCTCGTGAACAAGGGGCCCCAAGTTCCTGGGTGGAGCAGACTGTTAGTTTAAAGCTATTCATTGCAAGGCTGGGGGTTCAAGTCCACCAAGAGGCACTTCTGGTGAAAGGCCTAGTGCTCTCTCTTCTAAAGGTCAGTCTTTGAAAGCCCTGAGGAGCTCCGCTCTGCTCTGACACTCAATGGTGGCCAGGAGTCAGTGTTGAGGGAGCTGCTGCAACCAGTCCATCTGTGAGCTTGGCTCAACAAGGCCTGTATTCTCCAGCAGGCTCCATGCCTCAGACCTGCCACCACAGAGACAAGTGGAGTTCTGAGGCATGGCACAGCAACAGGGATGAGTAGCATTTTGACATAAATATTCTGCTAGACAGACATTGGGCCTCCACTCAAGTACTCCCTCAATGCAAGAATATTATGTTCTATTAAACTGGCATTCCATGATGCTCACCTTCCCGGCACGATCGCTGAAGACAAGTGGGTGCATAAGCAAATGTGGTGAAGAAAGCTGATGGGGCCCAGTTATCAAAAAATATAGCCTCTGGGGTCTTAAAGGCTTGAAGGTAAACAAGCAGCCATCTAGCTCAGAAGTAACAAAGCCCCCATGGAAGAAGCACACCAGCTGTGTGATCACGAGGTGTCGAAGGGATCAGGTGTCAGGCATCAAAGAACAAAAAATCAAATCATTGTGAATGAGGGGAAGTGCGGAGTGGAGACCCAAGCCCATCTGTAGGCAACTGGACATCCTCTTACTGTAGTATTAAATTAAAAAAATAAAGATGCAGACGGAGGGTGAGGGGATCAGCCCCCACCTGCTGCTACTCCTACGAGTTCAGTAATACTACTTCTGGGTTCAGTAATGCACAATTGTACGGTTGAGATATATAAGCATTATATTAAAGTCATCAAGAGCATGAGAAATAATACAATAATAGAGTCAGGCATGATACATAGCAACATTGCTCACCTCAGCCCAGCTTGGTGGTCCACGTGGAGAGAGGGGGAAGGGAAGGAGGGAAAGGGAACAAGGGAGAGGGGGAAGAGTCAGGGAGGTCAGAGTCTGAGAGAGAAGTTCGAGCCTATATTGCTGACCCATGCCTATATACCTTTTGGGGGCAAGCCAGCCCACTAATTACAGGTAGAGACATACGTCACAGGGAGGGGCTGCACTATAGGCTACACAGCAATGAGAGGGTGGTCTAGGGGGTGGTCTCTGGATCTCCATAGGAACATTATCAGTAGGGTGCAAACCCCTCCGACAGGAACCAAGCTAATGGCCTTAGGCTCTAGAGAGAGGTAGTCTATTGTCTCCAGCAGCAGGGAGCAGGCCCAGCCCTGCTGTGGGATGAGACAGCAGTCTGGCAGCAAGTATCTGACTTCCCCCCACACTCTTACAGAAGGGTCTTGGGGAGGAGACGAGCCAGTCAGTGTGTAGTGTAGCAACGATGAAACATACAACTTACCTCTAGTTCCTAAATGCTTCCTCCCCACCCACTATCATGATCCCAATTCTACCTTACAAATCTGGCTAGACCAGAGGATGTACACTGGTACAGATAGGAACTGGAAACACATGAATCCAGGACGATCACTTCAGAACCAGTGGTGAGAGTGGTGATACCGGGAGGGTAGAGGGAGGGTGGGATAGAAAGGGGGAACCAATTACAAGGACCTACATATAACCTCCTTCCTGGGGGGTGGACAACAGAAAAGTGGGTGAAGGGAGTGGGTAAGATAAGACAAAATAATAATTTATAAATTATCAAAGATTCATGAGGGAGTGGGGAGCAGGGAGGCAGGGGAAAAAACGAGCTGATACCAAGGGCTCAAACAGAAA